AATCGTGTTAATTTTAATTGGCAATATTTCAACATTATTAATCAATAAAAATTCGTTCGGAGGGAATGAGCCGAAGGGAATTGCTATATCAACCCGTTAAAAAATGGGGGGAGGGGGTATCGTGGCAACGATCGGAAATTGAATAGAAACAGCGACGAACAAAGAAATCAAAGGACAGTTAGCTTCCCGGAGCGATTCTGTATGCTATCGGTTTTACTCTTCGTTGGTCGCCGTTGCAACGGGCCAATTCTCACCCTAGTCGAGTTCTGAAGCTTTTCGCGGTCGTTATGGGGTATTTGTACAACACAATTTATCTCGCCCCGGGGCCACGGAATCACAATGGCGGTTGCCCTTCTTCTATTCGATTCGAAGAAAATATATCCGCCGTATAATAATCGATTACTGACGAATGAAAGGAGAAGAAACCATCGAGAGATTCGGCACGCATAACGCACACACACAAACACATATATACACAAATATTGCTGGCAGAGAGGCCTATAACTTGGAACGCACGCTGCGTCATCGAGATTAGGTAGACAATTACTCGGCAATATTCAGAAAATTCCAATATACATGGATTTGGAAGGTGCATTGACGACGCTACGTCGCAAAGCATTGACGCATCTGAAACTGAACAGAGTGTTCCGCACAGATGAAAATGTACTGTAAAATTATAAGTTTGACGGTGCTTTTCAAGCGTGCTGTAATTGCGCTTTAGACGACGACTCGTTCTTCGCGCCTCGACGATTTCTTTGTTCGCGACTGAAGATTTAGGTTCCCGAGCTTCCCAATACCGCGCGCGAGATCCCAGCGTCCCTATAAGCTGTCACGGTCCCTGTCGGGCTGTGTCCGCGTCCACTTTCGTGTTGTGTTCACACGTATATCCCGGGGGCTATAAATAAGCGTGGTCACCAGACACGGTCGCTCGCGTACGGGAAAACTTGACTAATTGCGAGTAACCGCGCTGACGTCGTTGCTCGTTTCTTTCTCGTCAAGATATCCTCCTCGCGCGGCCATTCCCGCCTTTTACGGCCTTGTAATATACAGTTGGAGCACACGCCGGTACTTTTTCGTCGGCCGTTCATCATTCCGAGACTAATCTCTTCTACTTGGGTTGCGCTGACGCATCGTTTGTCTTACCCTTAACGTAGAGTAGGCAGAGAGTCTTATAGCCTCAGTCGGGGTCGGAGGCTTGTCGTATCGAATCGCTCGCAACTGCGGGTCGTCTTAAGTTTTTGGGACACCGAATTCGTGTTCCATGTGTAACATAAGTATGTGGTCATCCGTCTTTCAATATTCTTTGTCCAATGCACTAGTACATAATCCGATTGAATTGTTTCGTAAATGTTAACTTTTGTCGAATCGTATAGGTATGAGATGCGTCTTTGGCCGTATTGACCCTGGTTCGAAGATATAGATGCCATAAAGAATAAAAGAATAAGATAAAAGAAGACAATAAAACAATAAAAGAAGAAGAAGAATGAGATACATCTTGAAAAACATCAGCTGATTAGCTTTCAAATATAATAGCTGATTAATTATTAAATAAATTAACGATACGTACCGTATGGTCAGTGTAGCTTCGTTAACCTGCTGTTTCCTAAATAACAATATCCAAGAAACAATCTTGCTCGTGAAACCAGATCAATTTGTAGGATAGTTTTCGAAGGAGTCCGAAATGAGAGAGTAATGCGAAATGACGAAGCCTGCGGCCACATAATCTCGTTTAGCGGAGGTAATTGCTTCCTAATCGCGCGCGACCAATCAGCCTAACTGTGTTACGCTGTCTAATTCGTTTATGCGGCAATGTTGTATCGGTCTAACCCCTCTCGGTCCTTATCGAAGCACTGGATTACTCGGGTCCTTTTCCGCGTAAATCCCTTCCTACGATTCGCCATTTCGCCCCAATTCCAATTGCGAGAGCTGTCGATCTATAGGGTAGTAATCGCTTTGGCGTTGATGCACGCACACGCGTGTATATGTATATGTGGCCAGTTAATCGCCTTCTATTTGTTCCTGGTTGATTATATTCCGCTTAGATTGATGATCTTCACGATTCTGAATCTTAATGTTTCGAAAGAAAAAATGATCAAGCGTCGTTTTCCCCCGAAGAAATCAACACGATAAAAACAGAGAAAAAAATTTATTTTAATTATTTATATATTTGATTAAAAATTAAAAAAAAATTTCAAAAATTAAGATGTTTTAAAAATAATAGCTATTTAAAAAAATGTCAAACAAGTATATTGTTCATTATTGTGAATATATAGAGAAATGTATACTAAAAAAATTCTCTGAAGATTTTCGAAAGTATAGACATAAATTGAGTTTATGAATTTAAGATTGTCATTCTTATATTTATTATATATTTTTATATTACATTATTTTATAATATTTCGAATTTTGAAGATGGAGAAAATAAAATAAAATCGATATTTAAAATATGTAATTATGTATCTATATTTATATTATATTGTTTTATATATATAAATATAAACATAAAAACGGAATACATCGAAGAGATAGTGCAAAAGACATGATAAAACCGGTTTGTCGACTAGCGAACGGAAACCATTGAATTCACTGGCGCCAACTAATCCGTTTGAAGTACTCTTCAACAATAAGTGCCGCTGCTTTCTTTTACCGCCGTCGATGCCTTCCCCGATGCAAAACATTGCCGGAAGAGCACTCTTGACTAGGTACTTGATGCGTAACTTTCTTGTCACGGCCAAGAACAGACGTTGCACACTATAGTAGCCGCGAGTAACGTTCGACGAAAAATGATAAACATTATGCGCACCGAGCATTATAAAAATTAATACGTGGAAACGGATACTCGTCGGACTTATGCGAGATATTAGTTTTGAGAAGCGAAGAAAACATTTTTTTTTTATTTCTCTACATTTTCCGCTCTCTCTTCGCGCTAAAGGAGGAAAAAATAAAAGAGACTCCCTTAAAAAAAGAAACATAGGTAGCTTCGTTGAAATCCATACACAATCACGATTCAAAGCTCGATATTTTTGAGCAGACGTTATTTTTCTATTCTATTCTACGTTCTTCGCTTTCGCGGTACGCGGTTCGATAGAAGCTAACGCGGCTAAGGTTGGCCACTCATGAATACATTATCCTTTATAACGAGGTGAATAGGTCAAGTAGATGGAGTCGCAGCGTCTGTCCATAAATCACTTAAAGGGCAAGCGAAATCACCCCACGTGCAACGTGCAAAGCCGGTTCGACTTCTCGTGCATCTGCTTCCGCTTTTTGTTTCGTGGCGTGGTAGGTACCGACGCCCCCTTCGCGGCAAGAGCACACACGCCCCTTCGTTCCTTTATTCAACTTATCGCTAAAATTATCGTTGCCGCGTTTTTTTTATCGTCTTCACATTTGCACGGGATGTGCGCCTCATGATCATCACGGGTGTTGCGTGCTATCGATGTCCGTTCGTGCGATGGAAAAGCGATAATAACTCGCGACATGCGAATCGGAGATATCGCTTTATGTATTTTGCAGTTTTCGCGGTATTTCCATAGAGGATGGAAATTCAGATCCATCTGATATAATAACAGTTACGTGCTTCACCATCCGTAAAGTTGGCATATATAAACGCGCTATCCAGCCAGAAATCAATTTTATGACGTAATTTAAATAATTTAAGTTCCCGGCGGACGGTAAATTGTCATCAGTTGTCATCGGGAAATCGATGCTTTTATCACGCAATCGTTTGTTATATTGCAAATGATTTATTTCAATGTAGCACAACGGTGATTAAGGTTGTGCTTACACTGGAAACGCGAGTGCGCTAATATTGATTCGCCGTAACACGACAGAAGCGATGACGACCATAATTTATAATTCTCACCGGGGCATTTGACTGAACATTATTAATTTGCGCAGTCGGTTGAACGTTAGGCGCATTTACATATTGTATCGTTCATTATACATATATATATCTGTATGTAGTCATTTTGCACACGATAAAAAACTGTCGTAGAAAAGTTTTATAATATCAATTTCGTGCAAATGCTTTCATGAATAAAATAAATTTTGACTCCCGGATTTTGGAGAAACTTAAGAGGAATATAATTTATTCGTGATCAATTACAAGATGTCAATAGTTTTAATATTAATGAGAATAACGATAAATGGCGACATTAATTTACATATTATATTATAATTTATATATTATAATAAGCCATATTTTTTTATCATCGGTCATATATTATACTTTATTACCATTTTATGAATTAACGATTTTATATCTCCAATTCAATTATTTGATTTAAGCTTGTAAATAATGTTTCTCATATCTGTATATCGATGTAATAAACATCATAAATATATCTAGCATGTAAAATTATTTTAAATAAATATCGCATGTATATTGGATATATCATATCAAAAGATATAATATTAAAGGAAAAGTATGAGTAGAAAAGTGATATCTTTCGTATATGTTCCGCAAAAGATTCTAAACTAATCTGGGACAGTGATGGTGTTAATAAATACGAGAATTTTATTTTTTTTTTATAAGAAACGATTTGCTGTATTTCGGTTTTGAAAAAACTCAAACTCTCCAATAACATAGAATAAAACAATGATAGAATAACGACAAGTTGATGTAGATAACGACACTGACGCGTGCCAAGTAAATACAAAGCTTTGTAACCACATATAAAAATCAGACATACATAGAGTCAACGTAAGAATTAGAATTGTGAGCAAATTCCTTGACATTCACAATGCCTTTCGATAGTAACTACGAACGTTGCGTTATAATAAAGCTATTTACAAATTACAATATCTTGTAATAATAGTCATTCGCGTCGCTCTTCAATATAATGTCATGTACATACGTAAAGTTCGATGCGCTACGTAATATCGACAATATCGATAGTAGTTACTAAAACTTTGGTTACGCAAAAATAGACGTATATATATATATATATATATATATATATATATATATATATACACATATATATATATATATCTACACATATATATATATATATATATATATATATATATATACGTATGTATATATGTATATCCGAACTATTCGCTTCCTCATTAGGGATTTGTTAGAGTTTATGTACCTATAAACAAATGTACAATAATTACAAGGGAAGTAGGACATTGATATAATTTATAAATAGTACATATATAGCAGATTATTACATTATATCAATTATTTATTTCCCACAATCGCAAAAACGGAGAATATTTCAGTCGAAAGTGATGAAAACTAAATTTGTTCCCCTGCAGTTCTGATCAATTTCGAATGAATAAAATGTTGAAAAATATTGCATATATTCATTGTTTCTCTATTTGCTTGGCATTCAAATATTTGTGCATGTGAAATGCCAAGCAAAAGTACATAACTTCATTTTTCAAACAAGGAATACTATGCAATATATGTCTGAAACAATTAATTATATAATATTTCTGCATCTGCATGAAGTAAAAAGCAGATGATAAGGTTAATTATGCACATTTGCACATCTGCTCGTACAAAATATTTAAATAAAAGATAGTGTTAAAATTTCAGTGATCCAAATCTTATTTGAAAAATTGACTTTTCGCAATAATAATACTAGTAACAATATAAATCAAACAGTATAAATAATAAATAAATTCCGCGCCGAAACATGGTATGTATTTTTTATACATTCTTCTTTTGAAATAAACGTAAGAAAGCACCGCTGTCACAAAGTTTATTTTGCCTAAAATTATCGTAGTGATTCGCATATATAGCAAATTCTTCATTTCGCCGAGTGATTGAAATAGATACGTGACAAAACGTTCATTTCTATTTATCCGATTACGACGATTACTTTCGTTCGGAAATAAAATCTCCGTAATTGCGCATTCATTAACAAATTCTAGTTGCACACATTCGCACGCGTATAATCTCTTTCACGGAAGCTCATCGCATCGCACATTCTCTCCCTCTCTCTCTCTCTCTCTCAACTTTCTCACTCGGAAATCACAGTTAAACATTGGTTTTTCGACGTTTGGTGTGGCACTCGTCATCCGATACTGAGAGGTACGCGGTCCGACAGAGCAGATAGACAGAGAACGAATAAAATATCGAAAAATTTACTCTCGCGCGCGCGTCACGCAACTTTTAATCGTAAATTAAAATCTTGTCGGTTCTTTCTGAAAAAAGAGTTTATTAATTTAATAGCACTGTTTAAATTGCACACATTCAAATGTACGGCCTTTCCGACGCGCACTGCCGTTCAATGCGGCCTTTCGTCATAAATTCGTCGCTTCTGTGGTCTCAACTGATAGGCGGCGATTCGTTTTCGATGCTCTCTCTCAGTGGCTAAGAAAATTACCGAGTCTGAAAGATAATGCCGAACAGCAGACGAAAGCAGTCAACTCGGCGACGTTTGCATTAGGCGTTTAACCCTCGGGCAGCGGAATGTTTAGTCGCATGGAATGCGCTACCTGAGCTCTCCCGTTTAACCACATATAGTACAAGTTGTTCATTTCAAATAGTCCTTTTATTTTGATTTTGTTGTAAAACTAAACTACTGTGCTACGTAAAATAATAAGGATCGACGAACGTATAACTATCAAATAAAAAAAGATGAAAAATAAAATAAATGATTATTTGAAGGCAACCAGAAATAACCAATATATATTATATACTTTTACAATTTATTCTAAAAACGATAACTTTAGAAAATCCCTCGTTGCTTCCCATGCATTATTCAATACTGCTGAACGAGGGTTAATCGTCCTAAACGTATTTCAAATGCAACGACAAGATTGAATCATTACTCTTGCAAAGCTGAGGTAGGCATACGCGGTAACGACGATATTTTATCTCTTTGAGAGGAAAAGACCAAACATACAGACATAGTATATTACTTTTTATCGAAAATAGCGCTCGCAGGAAAACGCTTGAATACCATCGAGACCTATTAAAAAAAAAAAAAAAAATAGTATTGAAATATTTTAGTGTCTATAAAATATACCAAATCTGTCTGCAACATCGAAACAGTAATGATTCGCACCTAGAGATAAAATTAGAGGATGTTTCGTGTGCATATTACTTTCGGATTCTATATTAGATTTTCAATTATAAGGTAAAAAAAGCTTATAGCGTACAGGTTTGCGGAAGACGCACCGAGCATACTATCGCATAGTACAATCGAGAAGAACGTTCCTACCGCTTCCGGTATCCGTTCTACGACTTCAGGTTCCTGTACTGAGATTTGTGACAAAAGCACCGCGTATAGTAGAACCGATGTGCTCCCCGTTCACGTGCTCGAAATCCGTAGCAGAATCACAGTTCGCCGGTCGACTCGTCTCGCGAGCTTACTCGTCCGGCTCGCGAGAACCCTTGTTGCCGAGAACTCATTGATGCATCCCGGAAGTGGCACCCAGACGAGACCCGTAGATAGAATACGGCGAGAAGTACGCCAGTCCGGTCGCGTGCGGATGCGGCGGCGGCGGCGGCGGCGGAAGCGGCAGACCGAGCGTCGACAGAGACGGTGTCAGGAGCGGCGAAGGTTTCCCGTAGGGATGGTAGCGCGCGGTGGCAAGCGGGCTCAAGGGTGGCGTAGGATAAGACCTCGCGAACAGAGGATGAGTCGGGTGCAGCGTCGGGGGCGGCCCGGGCAGCAGGGAGAGCGCGGCGGCCGGGTCGGTCGCGCCGCCGCTCGCCGACACGTTCGTGTGACTTCTGAGATGCTGCAGCAACTCCTCGGACGTGGTGAATCTCTTGCCGCAGTACGCGGTGTCGCCCGCGATCCAGTTACACACGTAGGGTAGTTGGGTGCCCGCGGCCAGCGCGGCGAGCTGCGCGTGCGCGTAAACCGCGCTGAGCGACCCGTAGGGCGAAACGCTGCCGGGTTTGTGATCGCACTGAGCGCACCCGGCCGGACAGGAACCCGGCGTCGCGCCCGCGCCTGACGGCAATTTGCCATTGGTGATGTTGGCCACTGCCGCGGCCGTCGCCGGGTTCGACAGTAGGTGCGAGTTCAGTTGGCAGCCGGTGCAGAAGGGATCGCGGCATATCGGCATCAGGCCGTCCGCGGGACCGCCGCTGGTTTTCAATCGCGCGTAAAGATAGGGGTTGATGCCGTTCTTCAGGGCGGCGTGATGGGACATGAGCGAATTGGCCATCACGTCGATCGGCAGCTGACCGGGACTGTAGCCCAAGTAGGCAGCGGTGGAGACTGGTAGACTGACGCCGGGCTTGAACGTGCCCAATGGGAGATCCTTGATAGACGGATCGGCCATCGCCAGTACGCTGACGGGACTGTAGGCGGGTTTGACTTGTAACGAGGGACTACTCACGGTTGGCTGACTCGTCGAAGCGTCCGCTGTGCTCGATGGCACCAAGGGTGCCGAGCTTCTCGATGCCGGCGAGCCCCGGCCGACCTCGCCGTTCGGCGTCGCCGTTTTCCTACCTTGCGGCGTGACCGCGCGCGTCGACGCGGCGCTCTGATTGCTCGGGCATCGTTTGCCGCTATTGCCAGGTGTCCTCGATCGGCCGGACGTCGAGTGGCTCGACGTTGATCGCGACTCGTCCGGCGTGCACGCTTTCTCGCGTCCCAGGCAGGATTCGTACGGTTTGAAGCTGGTCTTCGTGGACTCGCTCGCCGACGTTGGCACCGTGGCTGACGCCGTCACCGCCGGCGAAGACTTCTCGCGTGACTGCTCCGTAGTTTTGGATGATCTGCTACTCGATGTCTTGTCCAAGGAACTTAGTAACGATTTGTTGGACGGTGGATCCGCTCCTATCTGACTGCAGGTCTGTGCGAGCAGCGCGAGTGGACTCTTCTTCGCATCCAGCTGAAATGAAAATGCGGAAAATATTTATAAAATCAATTAAAACTTGCATTTGTGCAATTCTGAGTGGGATATTTATATTTATATTGAGAAATGACAAGTCGATTTTTTAATACTTTATTAATCCTTGATATGTCGCGTTAAAGAAAATAATTATCTTTCTACTTCTTTAGGATATAATCTTTTTTTATGCGAAGTTACATTGATCATATAATTTGAATTTTTTGTTCAAAAGCAACATTTCGCACATATTAAACCTTTCATGTATAGCCAAAACATTTTTGTTGCCTTTTAAAATTGAATTGTTGATTTTTAAAATGACCGATTTACATTTTTCAACATAAAATTTCCACCCTGCATTTCATCATTTCGAAAATCAATGTTAACGTATGATTGATATGTAAAACTTTCTTATATATTTATAAACACGGTGATGAAACTGTTAGTATTAATTGACTCGCATCGGTAATAATTAACGTTTACCGATCGCGAATCTGATCGACCTCCTTTCAAATACATAACGTCGGTGATTTTCGATCAACTGCTACACCGCAATATACGATCTGACAACTCTCGAAACTTGGCGCGTGACGCGTCTGGATGGAGGCAAGTCCAATTAATGACGCGCAAACCGCAATCTGTAGCGCCATGTCACTCTTTTGCCGAGCGAGAACTGACGTGGATAAAGGGTGCGTCGGACAAACTTATCCCACGGAACGCCCGCCCTTTTGATTTATCGAGAAATTTTTTTACGCGAGCGACGTGTCCCCCAGATTTTTTCCTAACGACCTGTCAACGTTAAAATTGAATTACTTCCACTAACAATGATAAATGTATAGGTATTCATTCTAAGTTTTATGTACCTGCACCTAAATTTATATACCTATGAAATTACGACTAACGATCTTTATTTGCGGATAAACCGACCGTATAACAGGCGATGTTTTCGCGCGCATATATATTCCTACGAATCTGGAATATGACTTCGTCAATGATGTGGAACGTTGCCGCGACGATCATCCGCGCGGAGTCTCGCTTTCCTTTTTGCCAAAAGCGAGACGCGCCGGGGAGATATAATCAATACGCTATTGCCCGATACAGACGTCATTAGCGTGTAAGTGCAGGAATTTAATATCGGCGCCTTCGCGCGTCTCTCCCGGCACAGAGCACGGTGCACGATGATGCACTCGGTATAATTAACGTATAGAGAAGCGATATTTCTCGTCGACTGATACGTCCACCGAACAGATGTTCCGCCGTAATTAAAATGCAACGATCATGCAACACTAACACGCCGCCGCGCCGCGCCGCGCCGCGCGCTCACGGTCGGTCTGTACTAATGGCGCGACGCCGACAGATATTAATGCCGTGAATTGCAACAAGCCATTACGGCAACGCGAGGCTATATATTAATTGCACTCGTGAAAGTTAACGGGAACGTTCGAACGTAATATTTTAATCCGCTAATGCCGCCCGCCGGCTTTTGATTGTCGACGCTAATTTATGCCCCCTCGAGAGACTTCCCTCCGCCCTCTCCGCGCCTCACGTGACTTCTGCTGAAATTCGTCGAATATCTTTTCCTTTTCTTTTTTCCTTCTGTAGTCGAGCCGACTTTTTCACAGGTGTAAAGGTATCACTTTCGCTAAAAAAAAGTCTCAAAGGGAGAATAGAAATTTTCCTTGTAAGAATCGATGTTTTGCCTTTGTTCTCACTATTAGTTCACCTGCTGTGGAAACTTTACGACAAATGATTCACTGGTTAATGGTGGTCGAAACCGTTATGTTACTGATCGTTTGAATAAATTGTTTTCATTTTAATCTAACATCCCTCTTCTTTGAGCTCATATTTTGGCCGTTTAACGTACAAAAAAAATTAGTCTAATCAAGACGAATATATTCAAATCAATACAATCGAAGCAAGACCATCTAATTTAAAAAAAAAAAAATTATTTTCTTGTATATTTCAAGAATATTATAATTTAATTTGAATATTATAATTGTCGCATATAGTCTTCTTTTTCCGATTTCTTCTTCATTGTATAACATAATAAAATTGAATCAACATTATTTGTGTTCACGTAGAGAATATTGAATTTTAAAATAAGACTAAACTGTCTTTATCGTATAATATGAATGTTCTTGATTTGAAAAAGTGCTGTTATTCTCTATACAATATTTTTTGCTTTCCATTAATAAAAAATATTTTTGCATAATAAGAATATATCTTTATTGAATTATATATAACGCTTTGATGCAAATTAACAATTTATCTTCGTTTAACGCTATATAATCTCATTTCAAGATTTACATGTCAAAAAGATACATTCTCTAAAGACATTCTCTAAATAAGAATGTTCTTTCTTTCTGTGGCGTGCATAGCTTTGCTAGTAATTGAGCGATTGATTTTTTCTTTGTTTTTTCTTTGCGAAGCAGATTACAAATTCCATCACTTATTCATCAGATTGCAAATTCAGTTGCGCGTACGAAAATTTTTATGCCTCTTAAATATTAGAGAGATTTGAATGTCTGAATATAAGAGTGTAGAACGCGCGTCGACGCGCGGCCGTCGTCTGTGCCGAAAAGCCGATCGAACGCTCCATTCCGCTCGCTTTTCCATCCCATCCCCGCGCGCGCGCGCGCAACAATCAGCATTGTATTACCGAATCGCGCTTTGATTTATGACGCGCGTAAATCAGCGCGCGACGCGCGCCGTGACTTTTGCCGACGCACACACTCCGCTGTCCCCAAAAATAGTTTACAGGAGTTCGGAGCGTAAAACGCGGCGCGCGTGTTTCCGTCGGGATTAACGAAACGACGACAGGCGACGTTAATGAGCCGCTAGGAAAGATATTTTCACAGCGGGACTCGACATCTCGGCTATTTGCGTTTTGCGTTAATCATATAAATATTGGCACGGATATTCGTGAGGCGACGACGAGATTGCGTGTATCGGAATTAAATTATTCTCGTTTTAATCGTTACTCCGATTTTCGGAGTCGTCGTGTAATCTTATGGAACGTGGCTTACGCGGCGAGAGTTATTTATATCTCTGCTCGGCCTGTTTATTATGTTTAACTCATAACGTGATTTATATGCAACATTTCGAATCGATTTTTTTTCACTCTAGACATTCTACTCCGCGAGACGAGCGAATGTAAAGTTTTTTTTTTCAAGCACGTATACGTTGTTACTTCGCCGCGCATTTGGAATGCAAACGACAAGTGGGGAAAATATCGCGTCGTTAAACGCGGAGACGTTTAAACGTTGAGAGATGCGTATCTCGACAAATCGTTAACTCGCGACGTACAAACAGGAACGGCGGGGTATGAATAATGGACTCCGTAAATAGCGACTAGTCGGAAGAGTAGAGAAGAGTGGAGGAAAGAGCGAATAGAAGCGAATAAGAGCGCAGAGAAAGAGAGAGAGAGACTAACCGTAGTAGGTAGCGGCGTGAGGTAATGATCAGGACGGAGATACTGATTCGCGCTGGACGTCAGCATCTTTCGCGGTCGATCCTTTCGCTCGCACCCGTCGGTCGTGTACGCGTCGACGAAAGCACACCACTTTTTTTTTGTTTGTTTTCTATCACACTATCGGCTCCTCATCGGCGATCCACCTGCGTGGATCCGTCGCACTTTTCCCTCCCTTACATCTGTCGCAGCGGCGAGACAACGGTAACACTCTTGGACGCGGAGCCATGCACCAGGCTGGCTGTTGAGCGGGCACTTTCTCGTGCACGCGCCGCGATACGCACCCTTTTTTCTTTCACAAGCACCAAACCATATGTGAGGAGCAAAAGGGAAGGTGGACCGTCGTCGCGTCGGAGTACCCCGCGCGACCCACGCGAAAAAACAAAAAAAGAAAGAAAACGACTTCACAGTAGCGTTATCCCGCGCGATATATCTCGACACACGTCGACGCGGTGAGACTCGACTCGCAACTAAATCGCTCAGCGCGGAGCGGAGCGACGTGGAGCGCGCGGTTGCCCTTCTCGTCGCTCGACCCTCACCCCTCCACCACCGTTCAGCTGACTTCCCCTACCCCTACTCGTACACCGCAGATTCGTGCTCCCCCGGGGAGCGTCTCCCGGCTCCCCTTCTTCTTCGCGAGAGTCCGCGACATCGTCGTAGGGTGCTGCCCCCCCTCCGTCCTCCGTCCTCCTCCTCCCCCTTCTCCACCACCTCCTCTCCTCCCGGCCGAGCGGAGGACGATGTATCGCGACTGTACGGACTACGACGCGCGGAACGACACGAAACACCACGAGCGGCGGCGACTAACCAATGCGGGCGAAAGAGGCGAACGCAAAGGTGACGGCGACGGTGGCGGCGGCGGCCGTAGCGACACGGTGGTCGTTGTCGGTTCGCGCTACGCCGACACTTTTGCCGGGTGCCGGGTGCGAGCGACCGACCCGGCCAACGACGTGTCAACTGGCGCGGGGTGCCCTCTCTCGCGGCTCTCCCCCACCACCGCCGCGCCACCGAGGGAGTTTCTTTCGTGTACAACCACGTAGTTCGTACTCCGATACTGTTACCTCCGATGTTTTCGCTGACATCGTGGCGTTGTTAAAGAGATATGGATGCCACCGTGTAACGCCCGGCACCTGCCCGCTCCCACGATGTGCGGCGGGCGCGCGCGAGAAAGCGAGTGCGCGCGGAGAGATAAAGGCCCATCTACGAGACGCGTTGAATTCTCGTGATCGTCGAATCGCGCTTGACGAACCGATTGTTCGTAGGAAAATTGCCCGTCCGGTACTTTTATTTTTATCGGGAGGAAATAACGCGCTCTGACACGCGAGGAAGCTCGGTCGTTCGCGTCGAATTAGATTCGCGTACGTCGAACGACTCATATTATACTTGACTTTTCATTGTTCTTTAAATCTCAGAGTGGTTTTGCTACTAATATATTAGAGCGATTGCGATAGTACACTAAAAGAGAGGGTCGTTGTCACTCTAATTTGAGTAAATGCGCGGGCACTCATAAGGTAGGAGTGAATTTTTCACTCAAATTTTTAGAGCGGTTATACTTTACCGGAATGATACGATCTCTTATTCTACGGCTGCATTCCGATATTCACTGTCAGTACTGAAAATCTATATTTTTCTATATTTTATGTCACGTATACTATTGATTTTCAGTACTGACAGTAAATGCAGCCTAAATCACGATTCACTAAAGATCGACTGATATATGACCCTAATAGTGTGAAATTTAATTTTCCACTCAAAGTTGTAGAGTGACATAATTCACTGCTATATGGACACTGGTCTACTGCACTCGAAAAGAGTGCCCTTTCACTCGAATGGAATGCGATTTTACTCTTTCTTAGAGTGAGGAATCACTCGAAATGCACAGACACAATTTTCACTTTCCGTTACACTTGCATTTCACTCATTTTAAGTGATATTTCACTCTTCGACTTTTAGAGAATGACCATTTCCTAATTACGAAATTTCGTCTCGCATAGAGGCTGGGTGTAGTTTCAGCCAAATTTTTTTTATAAGCCTTTCTTTAAGAACCGAAGGACACGTTCAGTCCTTTTGTCCTTCAGAACCCTTTACTTGTTTAGTAGGGCTAATTCAGACAGAAAGAAAAAAAAACGGAAGGCTATAATACTTCTCGCGTACGAGAGGCGGACGTTTTATTTCATCGTCGCATCCTAGTGCGTAGAGCAATAAAGTATCGAACAATATAATATACGAGTAAGTAGAGCGTGAAGCAGTATAACCATCGCCTTATGCACTTAACGCAGCCTTTGTTCGTGCGTTTACGACGATGCACTCACGCTTGAGATCCAATGTACGGCTAACGTCATCGAGGCGCGTTATAAAGCTCTATCCGCAATAAAAAGATGCCCGAACGGGTATAGATTGTAAAAGGTCTCCCTACCGTTTCCTAAGCGTATCTGTAAACACGCGCGGCGGATATTAAGTGGTGAGAATAGATTCGCGATTGCCGGTGATATATAAAAAATCTTCGAAAATGTATAATATGGTACAGCATAAGTCAGTAAGATATTTTTTTCTTTTGTTCGAAAATCTTGGTATTTACAATATGACAGCTCCAGGAAATTTATTACCGCAAGTGCAACGCTTTAAAATGCCCCTTTAAAAAGGAAAGCGAAGCAGAAGCGAGATAAATGTTCATTTTACCTGAACCTTACACGAAACCATTCTTCAATCCTGTCATTTAACACCATGTGGTGTAACAACTTACTCCAGTTTTGTCATATTATCTGTGTAATTGCTGGAGCGAAAGCTTGATGAAAGATAGACAAGAGAAAAAACAAATTCTCTTGCGTCTCCATTTCAACCATTTTTCACAAATATGGACATTCGTGGCGAAAAAAAACGTGCTCGTAAACTTATCAGACATTGAGGCTTTCGTAAACGTTCCACTTTTAGCAAACGCATATTGAAATAGCTTTTTTATTTTATATTCACGACGCGTGGGTAAAATTTAATACGGAAATAAATTTAATGCGAAAACGTTTAAAACGCTCGCACGTTGCATGCGAGGTCTAATGCATATTGTAACGATTAATGAATTCGACTAAAATGGATTGAAGTGGTAATGGCACTGGTGTACGTTGGCGGATACGGATGCGCTAGTGATGTATCGGAACGCATATCAATTGTTTCATGGAAATTCGAGTGTCAATTCCTCTCATTACTATACGCAAAATTATAGGATTGTGTAGCGTGTTATTGTGATTGTATTGCATGTGCCATGCGGGGGAAAGGTGATTTACGTAATTCGTATATTGATTATTGAATCGTACATTATCGTGTAACCTGATTTAATTCGGCACTTTAATTAAACACTCAAAAAGAAGACTGCTCGTAATATTACCGTTCGGAGTTTGGTAAAGATATAATAATATTTAGCGGGCGCAAAACACGATGCGGCGGCAATTTACGTCGCAAATTAAAAAAAACAGAACAGCAGTTTGAAAAGTTTCGATTGAGAGTCGTGAATTTCCAAAATTAATCACGTGCCCGAGAATTGATAACGATGATTTGATATTAATTGAAAGCTCTAATTGAATCTGATACGTGCCCGAATATCGTATATTCACGAATTAGGCGCGCAACATCCAGCAATTTCGCGGCACAGATTTTTTTTTATTTAATAAAGGTATAAATCTGCATCTCGTTTGCAGAAATTCAATAGAGTACGTCCTCGTTTTTTTTTCTTTTCAACGCAAATCTACGTGCATCTTTCGATGGCGTGGCATGCGTCTGCATGGTACACGCAATCACGTGATGTCGTTAAGTCATATATAAATTCAGGTTGCAGCGCGCGAGATATCGCTAAGTTCGTAATTTCTCGGGTGCAGCTGCTATATACGCGCAAGAAATGCTAGATTACTTGTTACTCATTTCGACTCGCTAGTCTTGCTACCCTCCTTCAACGACTCGTCGTTCGTCGGCTGGTCTGATGTCGCAGATAATACAAGACACTCTGCCAGGCTCCTTCAGTCGGCGCCACATAAACACGTCGTCCTCGTCTGTTCAGCCGAGGGAAGAGGAGGCTCGGATAATTATACACCGCTCTCATCTCTCACCAAAGCGTATCCTCTAACTAGCGCTAATAACGCCGCTAATGCTCTTCCGTGGAAACTGTTCGTATCTAACAACCGCCCGGAACGTCGCCGCAGGAAGATAAGATAGAAATAGCGCTCGGAATATTGTCCGGGATTTCTTTCGTATGGGAAAACATTGGTCGAAAATTGTGTAATACGTTTCTATTAGAACTATTAACCCATTAACTTTTTACCAAAATTCCAAAGTTATAAATAACGTACACGTAATGAAACTGTTCCTTACAAAATATCTGTTTATTTGATCGCAATATTTTTTTTAGCCTTTAATATTTTCTACTCCGACAAACCTATTGTTTTTTTTATAAAGTATTTTTGCAATATTTACAAAATGTTCAGAGAAACTTTTTCGTTACGTTTAAAAATATTTTTATCACGTAATACCTTTTGACATTTATTTTATTGCAAATGTAGGTTAGTGAAAGAACAAATAGAACAATTGTACCGACTGATTTAGAGAAGAATTTTTTATCCATTGCTCGATATAAAAATGATTTTACTTTGAGACCGATAGTTATTTGTATATTAGCTACGGGACATGTTAAATATCACGGGCCGATCCGATCCGCTTGCGACAATAAATGTAACTCGACGGAAAATATTTTACGCTTGATTTAGTGTGATACTCGAGCATCTTATGTCACACTGTCACACATTTCGTTTTCCGTACGCGAAGTGACGCAAAAACAAAATTTGCATGACTTTGTATTCAAAAGCTATAGTTAAGGCATACGGTGCATGGTTTGTGCGAACATTATCGTTATCGGTCTCCGGTAATAACAGACTGTGCAGCGGCGTTGCGCGCAATTACGTGAACGATTTATAGGTTTTCGTCACGCAGTCCTACTTCCTTTGACTTCTTAATGAGTGTGCCAAGCTTCTGAAGTTATTCCGTCGGGAAGTTTCCATTATTTTCCATCATCTCGCAATGAATCATGCTAATTACGCCTAGAAGCAATATTTATCGCGTCGTTCGAAAATTGCGAATAATTGCGTTAAATTGCCGTCCTATAATGGCAGCCAATTTTTTCTAATTTGGACAATACTTCTCTCTCTCTCTCTCTCTCTTTCTCTCTCATCTTTCTCTCGAGGAGAGATGTTAATCAGCCCAAATCCAAACGCTAAAATAGTATAATCTCGTCTCCGCGCTACGGTCCAGGGTCTGACTTGGCTAGTTCGTGATTCCTCACGCGTCATCGTGTCTCACCGTATAGCGCCGAGCTACTCGGGGGACGGATAATCACCCTCCGTTCACCGCGCATCGATCAGGCGAAGCGTAAACACGATTAGTATAACGCACGGGTAATGAACTAATCCCGCCATGTCGTCGACGAGCACGAACGCTGCGACGCGACGCCCGATCGACGACGTTCGCGCGTAACGTCGTTGATGTTTCTCCCGCCTCTTCTTCGTCGCCACCGCCACCGTCACCGCCCGCCATCCTTCCA